ACTGTAAAAGTGTTCTGTTGTAAAACTTAGTTTGTGATAGCATATTATTTTTGTGACGAGCAGCACATCTAGTATTTAAGGCTGTTTTTGTTGCTGAGACTTCTGTAGGTTTATCTTTGTGTACTGATACGAAATTGAGAATATAAATAAAATGCCATTAACCAGCTTTGAATTATTAATTATGCCATTTTGGATCATAAATTCTCCATGGCAGATAACCAATAATACTTCAAACCACAAGCAGCCCATGCTCACATCAAGCGGAAAGGGTATGATGAAACAACCATTCTTAACTTAGGCGCGTTGGACAGTGTCGAACTTTACCTTTACATAAAGCAGTATTGTATTACAGGAGGCCATAACTGAAAATATGAGCTGTGTGAGAGATAAAATATCGAGGTTTGAAAACTCAAACATAAAAGAGGAATATTTTAAAATAATTTCAATTTTGTCCAAATTACAATACAATAACAAGGCTCACCTTTTTTTTCTATTCTTGTGAGTTTAGTGTAAACTCATCATTTTAAGCTTTCTTGCAGAAGGGTATCAGTAGTATGCAAGAAAACCACAAAAGATGAGTTTAGACCAAAACAAACAAGACTACACTCCAGGGAACAGGCAAAAGTCCTTTTCTTGTTACCAGCCTAGGCATACCTGGATAAAATAACTACTGGACAGAATTCAACCCTTTGTTAAAAAAACACCTCTTACCCAAATTTGGAGGGCAAGTTTATCATTGAAACAAACAACAAAACATCATCATTTTCTACTTCCATTCATATTTTGAACTTTAATGACCATTTCCCTGCAAAAACTCCTAGTATAAACTACTAATTACATGGATTAGAATATATAAATACAGTGAATGTACTTTCACAGGCAAGTAGAAACCAATGGCCTCCCTGCAACGTGGGTGGATAAGAGACAGAGTGCAATTTTTTGTACAACTTGAATGTCACCATTAATGGTATATAAAGTCTACTCTTATCCTGAGTAAAGAAAAGTAGTGGTACTTTGACAAGTTATAAGAAATTGCAAAAAATACCACTCACAAGTTTGAACCGAAGGAATATCGCAATGAAGTGGAAATGACATTACATAAACTGAGTTATCTAGAGTAACAAGTGTAAACATTGGCTACCCAAATAACTTTGTATATGGTGAGCTGCTGGGAATGTATTGCTATCACAAAGTTTTGGAATGGAGCTCACATCACTCTGGGCAAAACCATTTTTTGACCACTTGTTTACTACTCTTCTGCATAATGGAGCTACAAAGTAGATAGAGCTTGAGCAACAAAAGACAAATTAATTTAAAGTGATCTGAATACAAAATCTCATTACAGGAAGTGAAGATCTAGTTATGAATACAGTCAACAAACTATGATACATTGATGACAACATTTACATCGACATGTAAGTAAAAGTGAATGAGTAAATGTTGCACCACAGAAAAAGATTACACTTTAACAAGAATAAGTAATACAAAAGCATTGTTGCATGCACAATGAACTGTAGCATTGGAAGAGCAATCCCATTGGTTTATACTTAAAATGAATTTACACTTCTGTGATATGATAATATATATGCCTCTTTCTATCGTAATAAGGTTAAATCTAAAAAGAATATTAAAAAGTTCAAGTGGGTTTGTGGTTAGAACTTGGCATGGCAAGCATCCATGTTCCTGTTGAACTGTAAAGTTTAAATTCCAAACATCTCTACAATATTAGCCCGAGAAAACAGCCACTATTTTGCAATGGTAAAACTGGTTTCCCTGCGAAATAAGCTCTGAAAAATGTGCACAGACATTCCATACTGATGAAGCATCACTACCTAGATCTGGCTAGTGCTTCTGATTGGTCAGAACAAATTTCCCCTAGGTACAACCAATCAGAAGCACTACCTAGATCTGGGTAGTGACCCATCATCAGTATGGAATTTCTGTGCTAGTTCCAGATGTCATTCCACAGGGACACCACTGGTGGCATGGCCAAATGTCAGCTGTTTTCTCAGGCTATACAACATCCATCATCATGCCATTAGTTTTCAATAACTTGACAAAAACGAACTGCTAGTTTCAACCAGTGATATAACTTATTTTGAGGAAACTTTACTTTGGCCTTTCTTTGACAGTACAGTACAAAATGCTCATTCAGAAAAAAAAACAAGCCAGAGCTTTCTTAGAAATTTTCTAGCCCATATAATACAAATTATGAATAAATTTTATGGAACAAAAAAAAGATGTTTTGTTTTGAAAATTAGTGTCAAGGTGATGGACATAAAAAGAAAACTAAAAAAAGTATATGTGAAATACGATTTTCTTAAGTTCTCATATTTTCTTAAAAATTATACACTGCAACAGGGATGCTAACAAAATGTGAAATAAAAATCTTGATGATACAGGGTTAAAATACACACTTCACATGTATCAGGAAGAATTGTTGTTGCTGTTAGATGTAGGTCCACTGTAGGCCTGTCCGCCATTTACATATGAAGTCCCTAGCCCATAAAGGTGTCCACAGTATTTTGCATCATCTATATTGTCTTCAAAAAACATCTACGGAATGGAAACAACAATAATATTATTAATATTATGCCAACTTAGCATGAACCCAGTGATTTTGTTACCTCTGCGTCCGCATCCCTGACACATAAAAATCCCCAAAGACGCAAAATAATTCATGGCATGCGTCCCATAGGATGCAGTGAATGATCAATCAATTTGAAGATTTTTTGGTAGAATATCCTCTTGGTGTGATGACTGTGGCTGTTGTTTAAAGACGCATAATTATTTATTTTAGTCTTTTTTGTGCTTTAAATAAAAAGAAGGACTATATTTTAAATTCAGTAAACTGTAATAAAGAGTTTTGGAGTCTGTCTCCAGATTAACTGTCTGGTTACAGAAAGGCCCAAGCTTGTTTTTGTTTTTGTTTTTTTGCTGTTTTTTTTTTAACTGGGATGCATTGGTTGTGGATAGGGACTCATGATTTTTCACAAGATGAGTCCCAGGACTCACCATAACTATTTGTAAGAAAATAACTGTGATCTTCAGATGAAACTAAACCTCTGTTAAAGTCCTTCTGCGAGCCAGTGCTGAAATCCTTGCTTTGGGCCTCCTGTTGTCTATCAGAATTTGAGTACGAGCAATGTTTGGCCCAATAGAAAAGCCATTGTTCAATTGGCCAATCAGGTTGTGGGGAAATTCAAAAACGCACTTTCAATAATTCAATAGTTTTAAAAGGTTTTCATGTTTTGTTAAAAGAAATGCAAATCATAAGATCTCTTTAATATAATCATTATCTCTGGATCTTTACGACTAAACATGATCTACTACAATCAATTAGACCTTAAACAAAGTGCTTTGGGGATTGACATTTGTTTTCCGTCGTTTCAGTGATGTATGTTTGATAATTTAATTTGAGGACTGTAGTAATATATTTCAAAAATGTCTTGTAAAAATCCTGTTTTGTTTGAAGAAACAATCAAGTGCATTGTGAGGACAAATTGAAAAATGATTTAATAATATCATATTACTCACTAAAAAAAAACAGGTAAAATGGATGCATACCTCTCTCATTCTAAAAAATGCATTTCCTGTTAAAAGACTATCACTTCCGGCTTGATGCTGGGGTCCTACTCTTTCAAGCTTCAAATAAATTTAACAGAGAAAGTTTGTTAACGGTTACATAACATTTACTTTACTTCTTTTGCTTTTGTTATTTTGTGTTTGTTTCATGATTAACTCCATAATTAATCAAATAATAATCAAGACAATTGGCATCTGCCTAGATTCATCAAATGATTTATTTATTTGGATTCTTACCTCCAGTAGTTCAGCCACCTCCTGTAGACCACCTTTAAGACTTTTGCAACTTTTCATTAAGTACTTTACGTCATAAATATTTGGAAAATATAGCTTAAGGAGATCAAAGAATTCTGATTCCTCACTAGGCAGGTTTTGTGCTGTCAGGACTTTCAAAAGGTAAGCAAAATCATAACCACTAGAAAACAAAAGAAAAGAATTAACTGACATTAGAAAAAGTGTCTGTATAACTACATGTAAGTCTTGTAGGAGAATATTAATAGGCTGCTGCGCTTCAGTAGCAACAACTAAGCAATATATGGTAACCAAGGTGTGGTCAGGACACAACAAAGTTTTTGTCAAATAGCCTAAGGCTAGCAGAGTAAACCATCGGGCTAGTAAATAATATCAGCTGTCGAACATGCAAGCAATGTTGGCTGAGATAAAGAAAATATTGTTAAAAAGGGGCCTGGTAGGCCTGCATGACTGCTCCAGGCTGGTAAGAGAAAATTCATCAACCTTCAACCAATTCTCCTTAGTTATTAGAAGCATAAAACATGCATGAAGAACAGTACAGGACAAGAATGGAGAAGATGCTTGACGGAAAGGAACTGTCAAACAGTATCACAAACACCTGTGAAATGATAACCATTTTACATCTTCATTAAGTACAAGTCCTGATGTTATAAGCAGCTCTGCAAAGTCACCAACATCAATTCCTTCTTCTTCATGTCTTTTAAACTGAATCCCTGCTCGATTGAGTAAATCTATTGAATCTTGGGCATACATATCTTCCCTGTAAAGTATGAAAAAAAAGTTATAAATACTTTGTTTAACTAATGGGAGATTTCTATCACATGTTCCACTTAAAATCACAATTCAACAATCCACATCAAACATAAACCCCAACTTCCAGAAGGCAAAACCTACAGGTTGGTTATACACAGGACCCAAAAGATTAACTACGAGCTAACAAAAAACAAATCCAGCAAGAAGTCACAGCAGACCTCTGGATAGCAATTTACACAAGCTGACCATCTGCAAATAAGCCAAGTGGCTCATCAGGCGAGAGTTTTTACCCAATTCCTTTCGGAAATTTTTCTATTCTCCCTCGACCAGATGGTAGTCCCTCACAGTCACTGGTATATACAGCTGTTTGGAGTGAGGCACTGTGAGAGTAAAAACTCAACACAATGACTTTGGCAGGGCATGAATTGCAACCTCTTCTTACCAACTGGAAAGCACTAACCACTGGGCCACTACCCACACAGAGGGGCACCACAGTAAATGGCATTTACCATGGTAACTACTGTAGCTGTATAGAGTGTCGTACAGGAAGGGTCGCTGGAACAGTTCACAGACCAAAAAACTAACTAAGCACTAACCACTGATATCAAAATTTTATTTCAGCTTTCGGGTCATGATAATCAGTATGTTAAGTACCATTCTTTATCTTGTTCTTAGATGAAGAAAAAAGTGGCAAAAGAGTGCAAAAAAACGGTTAAAGGAAAAGGAAAAGAAAGACTGCACATAGCAACTTACAGACCCTCATCAATCTCATTACATGTTTTCATAGTCATTATTTATCTTCCAGAGGTCTCGAAACTGAACATCCCAACAAAAACAAGAAACAAAATCTCAAATATTAATAATTAATTCAAGCTCTTCTCGGGGCATCCTCAACCTTTTGGTCACAGAACACACAAAAAAAATTTATTGAATTCAGCTAACCACATATCGCAGACATACACCTATACAACCCTCTGTATATGCAGCACAACAGTATATTAATTTAAACAAACTTACGTTAAATTAAACTTGAAGTTGAACTGACATGTAGCTCCAACAGGCGCCTTCTGTTAGATGTAGGTCCACTGTAGGCCTGTCCGCCATTTACATATGAAGTCCCTAGCCCATAAAGGTGTCCACAGTATTTTGCATCATCTATATTGTCTTCAAAAAACATCTACGGAATGGAAACAACAATAATATTATTAATATTATGCCAACTTAGCATGAACCCAGTGATTTTGTTACCTCTGCGTCCGCATCCCTGACACATAAAAATCCCCAAAGACGCAAAATAATTCATGGCATGCGTCCCATAGGATGCAGTGAATGATCAATCAATTTGAAGATTTTTTGGTAGAATATCCTCTTGGTGTGATGACTGTGGCTGTTGTTTAAAGACGCATAATTATTTATTTTAGTCTTTTTTGTGCTTTAAATAAAAAGAAGGACTATATTTTAAATTCAGTAAACTGTAATAAAGAGTTTTGGAGTCTGTCTCCAGATTAACTGTCTGGTTACAGAAAGGCCCAAGCTTGTTTTTGTTTTTGTTTTTTTGCTGTTTTTTTTTTAACTGGGATGCATTGGTTGTGGATAGGGACTCATGATTTTTCACAAGATGAGTCCCAGGACTCACCATAACTATTTGTAAGAAAATAACTGTGATCTTCAGATGAAACTAAACCTCTGTTAAAGTCCTTCTGCGAGCCAGTGCTGAAATCCTTGCTTTGGGCCTCCTGTTGTCTATCAGAATTTGAGTACGAGCAATGTTTGGCCCAATAGAAAAGCCATTGTTCAATTGGCCAATCAGGTTGTGGGGAAATTCAAAAACGCACTTTCAATAATTCAATAGTTTTAAAAGGTTTTCATGTTTTGTTAAAAGAAATGCAAATCATAAGATCTCTTTAATATAATCATTATCTCTGGATCTTTACGACTAAACATGATCTACTACAATCAATTAGACCTTAAACAAAGTGCTTTGGGGATTGACATTTGTTTTCCGTCGTTTCAGTGATGTATGTTTGATAATTTAATTTGAGGACTGTAGTAATATATTTCAAAAATGTCTTGTAAAAATCCTGTTTTGTTTGAAGAAACAATCAAGTGCATTGTGAGGACAAATTGAAAAATGATTTAATAATATCATATTACTCACTAAAAAAAAACAGGTAAAATGGATGCATACCTCTCTCATTCTAAAAAATGCATTTCCTGTTAAAAGACTATCACTTCCGGCTTGATGCTGGGGTCCTACTCTTTCAAGCTTCAAATAAATTTAACAGAGAAAGTTTGTTAACGGTTACATAACATTTACTTTACTTCTTTTGCTTTTGTTATTTTGTGTTTGTTTCATGATTAACTCCATAATTAATCAAATAATAATCAAGACAATTGGCATCTGCCTAGATTCATCAAATGATTTATTTATTTGGATTCTTACCTCCAGTAGTTCAGCCACCTCCTGTAGACCACCTTTAAGACTTTTGCAACTTTTCATTAAGTACTTTACGTCATAAATATTTGGAAAATATAGCTTAAGGAGATCAAAGAATTCTGATTCCTCACTAGGCAGGTTTTGTGCTGTCAGGACTTTCAAAAGGTAAGCAAAATCATAACCACTAGAAAACAAAAGAAAAGAATTAACTGACATTAGAAAAAGTGTCTGTATAACTACATGTAAGTCTTGTAGGAGAATATTAATAGGCTGCTGCGCTTCAGTAGCAACAACTAAGCAATATATGGTAACCAAGGTGTGGTCAGGACACAACAAAGTTTTTGTCAAATAGCCTAAGGCTAGCAGAGTAAACCATCGGGCTAGTAAATAATATCAGCTGTCGAACATGCAAGCAATGTTGGCTGAGATAAAGAAAATATTGTTAAAAAGGGGCCTGGTAGGCCTGCATGACTGCTCCAGGCTGGTAAGAGAAAATTCATCAACCTTCAACCAATTCTCCTTAGTTATTAGAAGCATAAAACATGCATGAAGAACAGTACAGGACAAGAATGGAGAAGATGCTTGACGGAAAGGAACTGTCAAACAGTATCACAAACACCTGTGAAATGATAACCATTTTACATCTTCATTAAGTACAAGTCCTGATGTTATAAGCAGCTCTGCAAAGTCACCAACATCAATTCCTTCTTCTTCATGT